GATTTTTGACTTTTTTTCTTTTTTTTTTTTTTTTTTTTTTATTTATTTAAAGCTTTTTATCAGGGACTCGCTGTTACTTTTTTTCTGTTAATCGGCCCTCCACTCACTCGCAGTGTGTAAAAACTCATGTTACAATGGGTCTCAAATGTGATGACATCTATATTTGAGCGAACCATATATTTTAGACTCTGTATTACAGTAATGGGTGATGGTGGTCTGATTTTCTTGGATCGTGTTTCAGATGTTCTCATCAGTACAGGCTTTGCTGTGAACAGATATGCTTGGTTATTCATTTCAGTCTGTATTGAAATATTAAAATTGTCACAGCACAATCACATCAAGTCTGTTGTACAGAAAAATGTTCACTTAAAGAACATGTCGTGCTTAAAGATGTAGTGCTGAATCAATGCAAACTCAATCAACATCTCAAAATTCAGAGCATGCAAATAAAAATCCAGTCATGCCATTCTTTGTTTTAATATGGCCTGAAGTACAGACCCACTATTATCAATTAAGTACTTCCATTTGAATTAATTAATTGATACAATGCACTTGTGTATACAGTGGGAACGGAAAGTATTCAGACCCCCTTAAATTTTTCACTCTTTGTTATATTGCAGCCATTTGCTAAAATCATTTAAGTTTATTTTTTTTCCTCATTAATGTACACGCAGCACCCCATATTGACAGAAAAACACAGAATTGTTGACATTTTTGCAGATTTATTAAAAAAGAAAAACTGAAATATCACATGGTCCTAAGTATTCAGACCCTTTGCTCAGTATTTAGTAGAAGCACCCTTTTGATCTAATACAGCCATGAGTCTTTTTGGGAAAGATGCAACAAGTTTTTCACACCTGGATTTGGGGATCCTCTGCCATTCCTCCTTGCAGATCCTCTCCAGTTCTGTCAGGTTGGATGGTAAACGTTGGTGGATTCCAGAACAGTTTGACCCAAATATCCAGATGTGTGCAGCACATTTTATGGAGGACTGTTTACTGATCCTGGGAGAGTAACGTTAGACTACAATGCCGGCAGTTCTGACTCGCGTAAGTACGTATAAGTACGTTTTCATTTAAAGGATTTGCCACTGATGATTCAAACGTGAATTTTGGGCAGTGTGGAGTAGCACTTGTTGTTTGTCGTTTCTCCGATCACAAATGCAGACAGGGTTTTATGTTTACGTGGCGCGATGCAACGCTTAAAAAGACAGTATAAGTCATTATAATCTGTAATTATTTCCCCACTGGATGCAACAAATGCCTCGTTTGTAATAGGCCTCGTTTTTGTCTTGTCACTCCGGCTGGGACACGCCATCACAATATGGTGAGGGGTGTAACATTTCCGTCTCACGCTTGAAGTATTCGGCCAATCACAACACACTGGATAGCTGGCCAATCAGAGCACACCTCGCTTTTCAGACCGATGAGCTTTGTAAAAATCGATGCGTTTCAAAAAGGCAGGGCATAGATGAGAAACAGCAATGTACAGTATATGGAATATAATGTGTTTAACTTTAATCCGCATAAACACATTTCATTACACCAAATACACAAAATAATGTTATTTTTAGCAGTATCATATAACCCCTTTAAACTACTTCAGTCTGTGTGCATTGAATTGATTTAATACACGAGTTTCACAATTTGAGTTGAATTACTGAAATGAACTTTTCCATGACATTCTAATTTATTGAGATGCACCTGTACATGTTTTTACATGGGATTTTATATATATTTGTGTATCTGTAATTAATTTCTGTAGTGGCATCTATAATTACACTGTTGACCCACCCTTAAACCAAACAAGTTCTTAACCTTCCAACCGGTGACCGTGATTTCACCAAGTACAACGTGGGCTTTCTCTCAATATTCCTCCTCGTTTCCTCGCTCCTCTGTCCTCCATCCTATGACCTATGACTATAACCGATCGAGCTCAGCCATCTTGTAGGACATCTCAGTTCTCAGATACACAGGTGAATTCATCGAAAAACCTGACGCACCAATACATTCTCCTCCCCCTTCACATCTGTTGTAATCATTTTAATTTATATTTTACCTTTGCAGTTTAAATAAACCATACATGTCATATATTTCAAACCGGGCATCTTGCTTTATTAATATTTATTATGAATGTCTTAAATAACAAACTTTAACAACATAAGGGCAGATCCCTTTAGCACAGCTGATGATGCTTTGAAGTGACGCTAAGGGAGGGTATATCATTTCACTTGATTCAACTCCTCCGTCCTCCCGTCTTTTCCTTGCGTCCTTCCCTCGCATCCTGAAGGGGTGGAGATAAGACGGGAGGAAAGGAAACGAGGATGCACAAATAAGAATTGAGAAGCACCCATGTTCCAACCATGAGGGATAACTTTTCAGGAAATGTCTGTTTTAGGCTTGCGATCAGGGTTAGGTGCTTCTACACCCTTGGTAATAAGCTATCATTTCACACTGATTTTAGGAATAAATTATGGGTAGGGTTAGGTTTGGGGCAGGGATTGGGTTAAGTCTATATTTTTGGACAGTTATGTTGATCCAGGAACATGTCTTACTTGGCAAAATCACGACGACCCCTTCCCAACCCTACCTCAAAAGCAGCAAAAGTGATTTGCAGTATAACATAAAAACAATACGTACCCTTTTGTTTTTTCTTTTTGATGTCAGTACATAGTAGTTAAATACACCTAATATAAAGTGGGACCTAAATGACTGTTGACAAAATTAAGTACCTTGATCTCCTGAAGTTAGTTATCCATATACAGCTGTGTACTTTTAACCTCATGAGCACGCTTTTGCCCATCCTCCACACCACACCACAAAACACAACACCACCACTCAACAACAACAACACCACGCAACACAACACAACACACACCTTAGGGTTGCCAACCGTTCCATATAATACGGAATCGTCCTGAATTTAAGGCATCAAAGAAGTGTTCCATATGAAAGCTATACGAACGTAGTTTGTCCCGTATTTAAGGCATATGCCGTATGAACACCTAGACCATACGAATAACAAACTGAATTAATCATTCTTTTTTGACAAGTGTTTGATTTGTGAACATAGCCGTTCCAAGGAGGCTTTAAGACCAAGCAGAATCCTCTTCACAGCCAGCGGGACTCTTAACGGAGTTGGGTTTTTTAAGGACCGCGTTTCGACTTCAGCAAATCAGATTGAGCGAATGCAAACAACGTGATTCCAACATCCAGCCATGCAAGAAAACTTGCATTTTACCTGAGGGAAGACGTGATCAATGAGGAAAGTCGTAAAACAATTTACATTTAAGTAACTTCCAGTGGATTCTTAACCTTGAATATCATTCTTAAAACACAAAATGACCAATGAAGTGTCAAGCATCTAAAGCAGTCCATATTTATTCTGTAAGTTCTCTTTAATTGAAAAATATGCATTTTCATACATACTATAATAGGCCTACTGTAGGCTATATTACACACACGCATATCAGAAGACAGAACGAGCTTTATTGCCAAGTATGTTTGCACATACAAGGAATTTGTTTTAGTGTCACAAGCTTCCAGTACACAGACACAACATCAACACACAGATAATAAAAATAAGATGTGAATAAAATACAGACGACAAGCATGCAGATGAGCTTCCCTGAGATGGTATCTGACAGTTTGTGCAGAAATTCTTTGGTTATGCAAACCGATTGTTGCAGAAGCTGTCTGGGTGGCTGATCTCAGACGATCTTGGAGGTGAAGATGCTGGATGTGGAGGTCCTGGGCTGGTGTGGTTACACGTGGTCTGCGGTTGTGAGGCCGGTTGGATGTACTGCCAAATTCTCTGAAACGCCTTTGGAGACGCCTTTTTAATGTTTTATAAAGAGGTTTTCGCTCACAGAATTGTTTTTGTGCACCCTGAGTGCTGGATGCTTATGCTCATCAAGCCTGGATTTCTTTGATAAAAAATACAGAAAAAAATTTAATTTTGTGAAATAGCATATTATTGCAATTTAACAAAACAGTTCTCTATATTTTAATATACTTTAAAATATAATTCCTGTGAAGCAACGCTGAATATTCAGCATCATTATTCCAGATTTTAGTGTCACATGATCTTCACAAATCATTCTAATATGCTGATTTATAATCAATGTTGGAAACCGTTGTGTTGCTTAATATTTTTTGGGACCTGTGATATTTTTTCAGGATTCTTTGATAAAAAAAAAAGTTAAAAAGAACAGTATTTATTCAAAATAAATATGTTGTGTTAAATATAGTCTACACAACTATTCCAAAAAAAAAAAAAAAGGTTTGGGGTCAGTACAAGTTTGTTTTTGTCTTCTTTTTTTATTTTTTTTAAAAGAAACTTTTAGAATACTTTTATTCAGCAAGGATGTATTAAATGGATAAAAAGTGATATTGTTAGAAAAGATTTCTATTTTGAATAAATTCTGTTCTTTTTCATTTTTCATTTTGTTTATGGAACACAGGTTCCAAAAAAATATTAAGCAGCACAACAGTTTCAACACTGATAATAAATCAGAATAAGAATGATTCATAAAAGGATCATGTGACACTGAGGACTGGAGTAATGATGCTGAAAATTCAGTGCTGCATCACAGAAATACATTATATTTTAAAGTATAATAAGATAGGAAACCAATATTAGAATTGGCAATAATATTTAACAATATTACTATTTTTTCTGTATTTTTGTTCAAATAAATGCAACATTGATGAGCATAAGAGACTCCATTAAAAAAACATTAGAAATCTAAAAGATATACCTCTGTGTGTGTATATACATTATATACGTATATATATATATAATAGGCCTGTGTGTGTATCCTTTATTCTGTCCCTTATTTGTCTATGAAAAACCATGATTGTCCCTTATTTTTCTTTTCTGAAGTTGGCAACAATACACCACACAAGACACACCACACAACAACTACACCACACACACACAACACACACCACGCAACACACACCACAACAGCACACCACACACAACTACACAACACACACACCACACAATACAACACAACACAACAACACACAACCCACAACACACCACACAAGGAAAGATTGCTATCAAATAGCACACCTAGGTTCCTAACTGATGACGAAGAATTGACAGAGCAGCCATCAAGTGTTAGACAGTGTTCTAGGTTATTACGTGCAGAGTTTTTAGGTTCGATAATTAACACCTCTGTTGTTGTTTTTTTCAGAATTTAGCAGTAAGAAATTACTCATCATCCAGTTTTTTTATATCAACTATGCATTCCGTTATTTTTTCAAATTGGTATATATAATTATACCAATAAGGAATATAATTGTGAGGATATTACCTTTTCTAGTATCTTGGACAGAAAAGGGATATTCAAGATCGGTCTGTAATTAACTAGTTCTTTGGGGTCAAGTTGTGTTTTTTTGATGAGAGGCTTAATAACAGCCAGTTTGAAGGTTTTGGGGACATATCCTAATGACAATGATGAATTAATAATAGTCAGAAGA